GAGAGAGAGAGAGAGAGAGAGAGAGAGATACCATATGTTCTTCCCTTTTTAAATAGGAAATCTACAACTTGTTCAAAAGCAAGAGAGGTGTCAAGATAGATCAGTTGTGATTTCATGGGGCTTTGGAAAACTTTGATTTAGAAAATGATTCCACAAGAAGAAGTTTGTATCAATTTCATCAATTGTAGTCTATAAGGTAGAGGAAAAGATAATTAAGGAACATGAGGAACATAAAGAAAATATGTGAAGAAACTCAATAATGGTAGGAAAAGTAAGCTATTATTTAGGAGCAGACTGAAGAGGAAGATTGAAGAAGAAAAAGAAGAAGGATAAAGAATTCAAAAGGTCATAAAAACAATGAATATGTGATAGGCTTTAGAAAAACTTTGATAAAGGAAATAGTTGACAGAATGGTTGTGCAAACAAGCACATGAAATCCACCAAAAGAAGTTTAAATCCATCTCATCAAATATGTAGATCATATGGTAGAAAAACAGAAAACAAGGGACATGGGAAGCATAAAGAAAGAAAAATGATGATGTTAGGAGAAGTAATTTATTCTTTAGAGAGGAATTAAAAGTTTAATATGTGACAAAAGATAAAAATAAAAATAAGTTTCATCATCATTACTCATATCTTAGTAACTCTACTTGTTCATTTTGTCCCATGTTACAAAGTAATATGATCATATCCTAACATGTAAGACTAATTATGAGGAAATATTAGATAGAATTGACTTCAACAGTTCAACATTACTGGCTACATTGTCGGTGAGCGTTTGGAGCAAACAATAATTCTGATTCCATGCATGTTTGAATGCAATTTTGTGTGTTTCTTGGATGATGACAATTATTGGCTCGGAAGAAGAGGAAGAAGAAGAAGAAGAAGAAGTCGGCAACCTTTTTCTTCCAAATCTTTCTCTCGTGTGGATCCATCCAACTCATGTTGGGGTGTATTTCTGTACATCTTGTCTCCGAGTCACTATCATCATGTGGTCGTACTTCATATTAGAATCTACAAAATAGTTATACAAATCAAAATTCAAAATAAGAATGTGAGAGGGAAAAAATATCATTGACGACTTAGTCAGGCCCGATATGATCTCGACTCATATATATATATATATACATATATATATATATATACATATACATATATATATATACATATACATATATATATATATATTTGAGATGTCTCCAACGTAGAAATATTATATTCCCAATGTGAAAATATCATGCTCTCCAAAACAGAGATAAGAAAGGGTTTCTTGACCTGATCCCTTCGATATTCTAATTAGTAATATGAAATCCCCAAATGTAAGTTTGAGTAGTTCAAAATGAGTCCTTTGCATTGGGTTTAAAATATCCTTTTATATATAAAGTATGAGAAGGTACTCTATAATTACCTTTCTGGTCAATAATGGATGAGAAGGAAGCTTGTGATTGTCTTCCTTATCATAAGATAAGAAGAAAGCTTGTAATTTCTTTCTTTATTATAATGGATGAGAAGGAAGCTTGTGATTGTTTTCTTGCTTTGAATTTTCAACTATGTACGTAGATGGGTGGAGGGTGACTTGAATCTCACATTTTATTCCCCCTTCCCATGAAGACATGCTTTGGAGCTCTTGTAAGAGGGGTTTGAAGTGCATTGTTTAGTTCGTCCGACATGGGAGCATTCAAGATCTTGTCTCGTGGGTCATGTTTTTTCGATTAAGGTGGTTTGGTCACATTGGGCTTATGTTTCTATTGTAGCAGATTTTTTTTCGGACGGGTCAGATTTTCCTGACTCACGCATCTCAATGTATTTGGCCTTGTATCTTCATCATAGCAGATTTATCTTAATGCAGTCAAGTTTTCTGACTCACACGTCTCGGGCATATTTGGTTTTGCATCTCTGCCATAGCAGATTTATCTTATCATGGGTTAGGTTTTCCCGACTTATGCATCTCGGGCATATTTGACCTTGCACTTTCGTCATAGCGGATTTATCTTGACATAGATCGAGTTTTTACAACTTACGTATCTCAAGCACCTCTGACCTTATACTTCCATCGTAATGAATTTAAAGTCATTTTTCCACTGTAACATATCTTGAGTCTTCTTGTCATGGCGGGTTTCAAATTTTCTTTTTGCTATTGTAGATTTCATATCTTTCCTCTAATATTGTGGATCTCGGGTCATCCTATGTGGTAGACTTCAAATCTTCTATTTACCATGGTGAATTTCATATCCCTTCTCTATCACAGTGGGCTTCAAATCTTCTTTCCACTATAGTGGATTTCATGTCACTTCTTCATCGTAGCGGATCTTGGGTCATCCCGCCATGATGAGCTTCAAATCTTGTTTCCACCATGATAGATTTCATATCCCTTCTCTATCATAGTGGATCTTGGGTCTTCTCGTCGTAGCGGATTTCAAATTTTCTTTCTACCATGACATATTTCATATATCTTCTCCGTCGTAGCGGATCTTAAGTCTTCCCATCACCGTGGCAAATTTTGGGTCCTCTCGCCATGGCGGGCTTCAAGTCCTCTCTCCCCTATGGATGATGTCGATTCCCATTGACAAATTTCGGGTCCTCTCGCCATGGCGGGCTTCAAGTCCTCTTCCCCCCCTCTCTCGGGCAAAAGTACTACGGGTTTAAGGTAGGGCCTCCTCACTCGAGTGTTTATTGAGAGAATTAGTAGACAAATGTTTCTGCGACATTGGGCGCTCCTAGCGCCAAAATGTTAGGAAAAAATATCGTTCACGTCTTGGTCAACCCGACATAGTCCAGACCCGTGTGCATAGGAATGTCCGAGATGTCTCCGAGGTAAAAATATCATGCTCCTAAGGTGAAAATACTATGCTCATAAGGTGGCACTTGCATAAAAACAAAGGTCGAGAGGGATTTCCTAACCCGATCCCTTTGATATTCAAGTTAGTAATCTGAAGTCCCGAATATGAGTTTGAGTAGTTCAAAAGGAGTCTTTGGTTCTTTGGAGAATGAGAAGAAAGTTTGTGATTGTCTTCATGATCATAATAAATGAGAAAATAATGTGATTGTCTTTCTTATCATAATAAAAAAGAATGAAGCTTATAATCATTTTTCTTGTCACAATAGATGAGGAAGATGATTGCATTTTTTGCTTTGAATCTTAAAATGAAGGGTGACTTAGTGGCAACCATATGTTTGATATGACATTTCCTATCAGAATGAAATGCCTTCATCTTTTTATTTATTACCAAAGTTTTTTTTCAAAAATATTTATATAAGAAGGAATTCATTACTTTCTCATTCTCACATGTTATTCGTCGAAACATTATCTGTGTTATGAAAAATATTTTTATAATATGATCCAAGCATTTTATATTTATCATAGTATATAATTACATTATCATCGTCATCATCATCATTATCATTATTATTATTATTATTATTATTAAATCAGTATTGGTCAGTGACCCAACACTCGATCTGAGTTGATTTCCGTTGCAATTTTAATTGACCTGATATGAGCGACAACAATAATGTAGGTTTAATTCCACATCGAAATTAAGAGTTAAAATTAA